CCTAAGTGCTTGTCCTGCAAACCCAACCTGAGACCTGGACATTAACTTTTTTTTTAATGTGAAAAAGTGTGACAGGGAAGTTCGCTTTCTTTTAAGCAGTGATTTTGTCCCTTAGACAATTGTAACAGGAGGGACACTGGTTAAAGTTTTCTGAGATGTTATTAATCAGAACAACCTTATGAGCTTCCTGTTTATGACTGCTTTGCACTTACGGAGTTTTTGTTTCAGCTGCCCTTTTCAGCCCTTATTAATGAAATGTCAACATGGAAATGGGCAACGGAGCGTAAACCAAGCTCATTGCCTCTTATTAACCTGGAACTATATTGAATAAATTCAATTTTGAGTGCTTGTATTAATTACATTAAAACCATTGCTTCAGAGATCAAACATCAGAACTTTTGTTAACGTTATATAAAATAGGAAGTTCTATTTATAACATTAATTGGGGAAATTTGTCCTCATGTTTTCATTTTTTCCCCCCTCAAGCAAGTAGTAAATATAGGGGAATCTGATTCTTTTAATCACTAAATTCCAGGATCACCTTAAGACATCAACTATGACTACCCAAAATAAAATGAAAATCAAACAACCTATTCCTATACTGAGCTAGTGTGGTAAGATGAACATCAGCCCATCTCCGTGATGCAGTTCGCAGAACACTAGAATTTTGGGGAAGGGGCATTGAATCCTTGAACAACCTGCTCACTTTGTGAACTAGAAGATAATCACCCATACAGCCCAATTAAAGTATTTGCCTTGTCCACTCAAAAGTGTAACTTCAGAAGATTCAGGCTCCGTGCTGCAGTCTTGGTACAAATAACATGCCCTACATTTAACGCTCCTACAATAACTAAATACATCAAGAGGCTATGGTTTGGCTCATCACCAAGTCCCACCAAGACTGTTAAACAAGTTATCATCTTAAGCTTTCCTTTTAAACATAAAATTCTACCAAGTTTAACTTTACATTATTAGTCAGGTAGCCAAGTGAGCTCTAAATCAGAAAGAGGAATCAATTTTTTTTTTTCTTTCCATGAAAAGTCAATAGCTTGCACCACACGGACTAACAAGCCAGAGGACAATGACAATTCAGAATCACTACAGCTGTTGCCAGTGTCAAGACCTGGGTGTCACCTGAAAAACCTCCTGGCCTAGGGCAGCACAGTCATTCCTGTTCTCCCACTGAGTGCCCAGCTGAAAATGTTTCCCAGTTTTGGCCAGTTACTAAGACAATCAGAAGTGTTACAGGACACACACAAGGAAAAGCTTCTTCATGGGATGCTCACATAGCAGCTTGTGCTAGGAAAGAGATTCTTGAAGGCAAACTGTTCAGCTCAGTGCAAAAATCAACACACACACAAACACACAACCAGCCTACAAATTAATGCACCCATGTGAAAACAAACTGATCAAAGCAGCAGAAAACTTAGCTTTTCAGTTACTTGCAAGACACTACTATCAAACCCGGTGTAAGAGGGCCCAGCCAACTGTTGCCAAAACTCCAGTGAAAGAGACCAGTACTACCAATACAGGACAGGAAAACAACTGGCTTCAATCAAATTCTGCATTTCTTGTTTAGGAAGGTGAAGGTGGATTTGTCTCAGCACTTTTCTCCACTAGTTTGGACTAAGACTGTAGTAGCAACACAATACAACCACTTCTAATGGAAAACCATACATTGTACTGTAACTTTCAGGCATAAGAGGAGCAGACTTCAACCTTCTCTGCATACTGATTTCCAGCTGTCACAGAAGAGTCTTCTCCAATGTTTCTGAAAAAGATTCTCTGTTGAAATCCCCAGAGATCCAAGGGCAACCCTAGCTTTCCTAAGGAAGGATGCCTTAAACACTCCTTCATGTAAAGGTTCAGTGAGAAGCAGCAAAACCTTTCCTCTGCTAGTTTGAGCTTATGCATTTGCTTTACCCATTTTGCACATGCACTAGTTCTGCAGCTACTCTTCTAACACAACCGTCTGGACTTGGACACAACCTCACAGCTTTATAATGGAACTAGGAACAGTAAATACCCAGCACCTCATCCTGCTTTTGAAAGTTAAAGCTGAATGTGGTCTGTAACAAGTTACTAAAAACCAACCTCAAACCAGAGATCTCAGTGTGAGAAAACTCAATGTACTGGACTCCTACAATTAATCTGATCTAACCATACAGCAGGCAGAACCAAGTCAGTATTGCAACAAAGGATTTGTCTCAATTCAGTCCTGGTAACAGTAGAGCTCCAGTACAGACTGACAGGACTACTTAGTACAGAGGTTCTTAGAACACAAGTTTCATTCTCCTCATTACTTGACTAAATAGATAAAATTTTATTTCACCTAAACCCAACTAGTTAAAGACGACTTAGAAGTGTTACAGTTAAGGAACTTCAGCTGAGGAATCTGCAGATGAATATTAAGGTTACCTGCATTATCTATGATCAATTAACAGAGACTAAATGCGACAAACCAAGTATAATTCTGGAACAAGTGGAGTCAATTCCACTCCCAAACAGTTCAAGTTGGAGAGTTTACTTTTACAGCAGCACTAGTATTACCACCTACTTCAGAGAGGAGTTTTTGTGGACTTGGCAGTGACACTGAGTATTACAAAGCAAAGCTCATAGCAGTTATAGTAGTCTTTAAACACCTATTTCACTCTTCATAAATCTTTTCAGCTGCTTTGTAGGAATTCATACTAAGGCTAGTACCTGTGTGCAGCAAGCAAATTATGAAGATGACACCAGGACACTAGGACAAAACAAACTTCAGTGGTGCCAATTCTTTTTCTTAAGGCATATCAATACTGAAGTACTGTTTTCTAAATAAATTTGTGGGTTTTAAGCAGTGCATTTTCAGAAGTGAGAGTTTGAAGACAGAAAAGCTACCACACCTCATAAAGCAGCAGCAGATACTAGTAGTATTAACCAAGATATGTACAGGTAAATTAGTAAACACTACAGGCAAGAACCTACAATGTGAAGTTAAAGCAAGATGATGCAGCAAGATGATGCAGCAAGAAGATTCAACAGAATGTTCTGCAGGAGTTTGTCTTTCTACAAACTAGGTGTACAACATACCTCACTTTCATTGAGGAGTTTCAGGCCCTAAATACCACAATGCAGCTTCTCAGAGTAGCTAAAAAGCCCCAAAAAACACACCCCAAGGCCCACAGAACTCCAACTTGCACTAACTTAAAAATTCTTCCTTTAAAACTACTTATCTTAGTCCATGTTTTTGCTACCATGTGCCTGAAGAGTTCAAGTTGAATATTCAAGTAGGAGTTATGTACACAAACATGCAAGTTAAAAGGAATAAATGAAATGCTCCACTTTATTAAGAAACCAAAAATACAAAACTGAAGAGTTCAAGGCTTCATGTACTCAAACACTACTGAAAAATGGTATCTTAAACTTAGTTTTGTTTACTAGCAGTACTAATATTGACCAAGATTAATCTCTACAAGATAGTGTTAAAAGTTGACATTTTCCACCATTTGTGCTGTAATAAGCTAGAGTTTCAAATTAAGAACTTGGTGCAGTTACAGTAAAGTCTAGATATTCATATAAATGTGGTTTTAGTTAATATGCTGTTTTGTAGCCAAGAGCTTTTTAGCTCAAACTACAGCTGTTTTCTAGTTAGTGAGTTTTAAGATGCTTAGAGAATATGTTTAATCAGCTATAACTCTACTGAACGATACTCCATGCAAAGATACAGCTTTTAAGTCATCTAACAACCTAAATGCCATTTGTTTCTGGCTACTAATAGAGAGCTCTGTGAAGGCATGTTGTAGAACATATTAAAAGTTAGAAAATTGAAAGATTGTATCTAACGGTAGCATATGCAAGCTGAACTACACACTTTTCTCTCAAGACACCCTGCAGACCAGACATTCCCGTTTGCATGGGAATGCTGATCCAGTCACACTTACCAGTCAAGCGTTCACTGCTTTAGTTTTACCTAGCAGTTAGTCCAGCTCTCCTTAGGTGCTTTAATTATATGCTTCCAGAAACCAAGGGAAGGTTAACTGTTAGCTCTGATTTAGCAAGAGGAGCATAACATGAGAAGCAGGAGGAGAACGGAGAACAGAGAATGAGAAATGCAGTAGACAACCAAGTGTTAGCCTCAACTGAAGAACAGAGGAGTTCAGTTCAATGAGTTTTTCCTAACAATGCATGAAAGTTCACTTGCTTAGAGATACTTGAAATACAACTTTATTGTCTAAACAAAAAAGAATGGGAATGACAGAAACAAGATTTACCACTTAACACTCTGATGTGACTGCAGCAGTCTTATATTTGAAACTCAAAAGGGGAAGTAATTGCAGTCCAAAACCAGCTAAATATGCAGGTCCAAAATGTGAAGTTTTTTGTTTTGGTTTGTTTTCTTTTTTTTTCCATTTTGTTTTGTTTTTTTAAACTGCCACATTCACTCCGAAGCCCATTCATCTCTTTCAGCATCCCAAAAATTAAGCACATGTTCTGCTCAGCTAGATAATAAAGTGGCAAACACGCTGCACCACTGACATCACAGGACAGTTGCCTATAAAACTAGACTTCTGACGCTGGGCTCCAGCTTCATCCCTCACAGGTCATCATCTTCATCTGGCAGTGCAGTGGTTTGAGCAATCTGGAACAAAGGAAGTTACAGTTAAGAACTGTTCTTCAGTTATTTGCCCCAAACACCAGCTACGAGGCAACTATTTGACCTTTGTGCCCTGTCTTGCTCACCTGTAAGTCTTGCTCATACTGTGCTGCCAGTGCTGGGTCCATGACAACTTCAGGTGGTGCAAGAGCAGGCATGGCAACAAACTCCAAGTTAGGATCTCCAATTAGCTTTCTAGCAAGCCAGAGGAAAGGCTTCTCAAAGTTGTAGTTACTCTTAGCTGAAATGTCGTAATACTGTAAAAAAAAAGTACATATTATACATTAAAAAAAAAGAGACACCCTTCTAACTGCTATCTAGGGCATACAAAGATTAACATGCACATGATCAGCTCTACTTTTACCTAGTATTCTTTTCAACCATATGACTTCTGTTTATGCTCTCAGAAGGAGTTATGATCTAAGTACCTAGAAATGTAGTTTCAGGCAAACAGGCAGAAATTGATAATTGAAAAGCAAGGTATCCAATCGGATCAAAGACTGCGCTTTCAGGAGGCAACAGAGCACCTATCTTTTTCCTGTGACTTGATCTACTTTAGTCTCCCTTCTGTGTCATCTGATAAGATTCTGAGCAGTGAAAGCCAAATGTACACAAGCTCAGACAGACTCAACAAATTTGATTCCTACAATCTCACACCAACATACCTGGAGATTCTTCTTCCTGTGGAAGACAATAGATTTCGCCTTGACTTTTCTGTCCTTAATATCCACCTTGTTGCCACACAACACTATAGGGATGTTTTCACATACTCGCACCAGATCTCTGTGCCAATTAGGTACATTCTTGTAAGTAACTCTTGATGTTACATCAAACATTATGATGGCACACTGAGCTACAAAAGAAGAGTCAAGATTTACATCAGAAGTAAGTACTTCCTTAGAAGATGGGAGAAAGAAAGAAGAGGTACCCATAGCAATCCCACATTAGGGTTAGGTATCTGCATTAACTTTTCCCTCTCAGGTTCACAGTTCTGAGATCCCATCATCTGTTAACAAGTTCAATACATGAGTCCACAGAACTCAGCCCATGGCCATGTAACCTCACATCTTCAGTGACCAATCTTAAACTGGTTTTATCAATGCAACTGTCCCCCTGAGCAGCATGGTGTTGCATGGTAAGAAAATATACAAGGATTACACAAGTCAACTTTGATTTTCACAAATACTTCACAGAAATTAGTTAACACCTATGTAACTAATCTGGGGCATCCTATTGAGGCCTTCAGGTAGGTTGAGAGCTTGTAGTCCACATTTCAGGATGAAAAACTGCTCTGGACAAGGGCAAAGAACACAGGGGCTTGACTTGATCCTGATACTTCTAAAGGAAAAGCAACAATGTCAAACACTAATAATTCCTCACAAAATTTGCAAGATATGCAGGTGACTGAAGCATGCACAGAACCAAGCTTGACTAAGCAGAAGTTAAGGGACTCCAGCAGTACTTCTTTAGAAAGACAACTAGACTCCAGCATGGAGATGTACAACCCCATCATCATACCTAAGATTTTACAGTTTGTTTGAAGTCCTTGCCTCAGCACAGTACATTAACACAGATTCAAATCTGTACTAACTGACGCACATCTTTCCGCCTCTAACCACTGAATTTCATCAGCAATATTTATCATTTAAGGTGCACCTTTACTCTTCATTAATACGAAAGCCTACACTAGTATACTCAAACACAAAAATCTTAGAATATTCCTACATCTGCACAAGTTGCCTAGCAAAGGAAACTGACATATCTACATGAAAAGTTTGAAAACCCAGAAACCAGCTCATCACTGCAAGCCACACTGACAGCTTTCAGAGTGGCCAACATGAATGGAATGAGAGAGTGAACTGTAAGAGGTACAGAATATTCCCACATACACACACTTCTTACCTTGGATGTAATAGCCATCTCGCAGGCCACCAAACTTCTCCTGGCCAGCTGTGTCCCATACGTTAAATTTAATAGGGCCTCTGTTAGTATGGAACACCAAAGGATGAACTTCAACACCCAGCGTTGCTACAGTAATAAGAAAAAGCAGTGCACTTAGCAAGTCATGAATTGTACTTTTAATTGTAATGTATCAGATCATAAACGTTTCTTCAGACATACCTACATACTTCTTTTCAAATTCACCAGTCAAATGACGTTTTACAAATGTTGTTTTACCAGTGCCACCATCACCAACCAGGACAAGCTGTTGATAGATAAAGGTAAAAAAGTCAGAGCAATACACTTCTGGAGGTATTGGTTATTTTAGTGTAAATACTAGTTATCAAAGACCTTGGTCTTACAACACGCTGTACAAAAAAAGACTGAATTCCCCATGAAGTAACTCACTGTACTGGGACACAATTTGTTAAGCCTATCATGCTGTAACTCTAGTCAGACTTATCTAGTTCCTATAGCTAAAAACTACAATACACTGTGAATATGGTTCTACTAAACCACAAGTGACTGAGTTAAGAATAGCTACGGTTTTCAACCTGAATGTGACCATATTTACAGAATTTGTTTAAGCACCCAAGTTCAAGAAACCCAACCAAACAAAAAACTTCAGACACTACTAACAACTGGAATACTCTAGACAAGTATTGCAAGAAACACAACTAACTACTTTTCATGAAGCAGTATTAAGGACTTATGG